GTCACTGATTTTCAGTCCATGTCTTGAATAATAATAATAATAATAAACTTAAGAACACACCACGCCAAGATATACGTGTTCAGCAAATAGCTCTCTGAGAATCACATTGTTGGTGTAAAAATACTCTTTTATACCAGTCAAAATGTGTTGCCATTGACATTTTTGTGGATTGAACTAAATAAACTGGAACACATTATGAGGTTTTGTGAAACGCTGCCTTGAAGATACAATTTAAAAATGGTTCTTTGCAAAATTGCCCGTTATTTGCAGACACAACGCTGGTTCAGTGCTTGAGATCTGTGCACTTTTTATGCTCGACAAACAAAAAGAAAGAAAAACACGTCGTCTGTCTGAAAATGAGGCAGAAAAAACCTGGAGAACTTTTGGCCACTTTAGCTAACGAGTCTGACTCCTTGGAAAGAAAATATAAAGAAAAAAAGTGGTGGTTCAAGACTTTTGCACAATACTGTACAATGGCCGATCTAAAACCTAAAAAAGAAAAAGCACCAAATTGGGAGATTGACTCAATCACAGCATATAAATCAGATTTTAGTAACGGACACGAATTTTAACATCGACTCTCTCACTCTCTTTGTCTTCAGGAAATGCCCGAAGAACAACAGGGGTCGCCGGCAAAAACAAAATCTGGGACACTTTTCCTCGGACACTAACAACAGGATGGTATAGCCGTGTCTGCCGGAGGTCTTTTTTGATAATTGTTTTCTTACGGCGCGGGAATATACCATTTTTTAACAGTAGGTGTAGTGAGTTTTCCTTTTCTCCTAGGAAACTGTTAAAAGAAGAATATTTATTTCAGGGGCCTTATTTTCCCTCCTTTTAATTTTGGATGGCATCTGTGCGCATCAAATTTTTTCTTTTCTTTTTTTCCTCCAATGCCGCAAATAGTTCAAGGAGCCGATTCAACACAACCCGCTGTCACTTTGCATCGCCGCCACGTCCGCCGTCTCAGTTTTCCTGCTACGAGGTTTTGTTGAATGCTTTGCGGTATCTTTGTCGAGCCGGCTGACAGAGTCACATCTGCCCCTCTGGAATGTGCTATTTATTGAAAAGTTTGATTTCTTTGCCCCTTTGTTTTCTGCTTTTTACTAATAACGTGCAGCTGATTACCAAATGCAGTGTTTTTTGTTTCCGTCCTTTTTTGTAGAGGCGAGAGGGGCCAGCTGGTACCATAGATATGTTTACACTCACCCTTCGGTCCATGTAAAGACTTCACTGTGTTCAAACAAGCTAATAATTTATTCTTACCATGACGGATTCTTTTCTTGAAAGTAGCTTTTACTGGAAGTTTTTATGTTAACTTCGAAATTGTAGTTTATGTATATTAGCATGACTTGTGATAACTGTGTACTGTGGTGTAGTTTTAACTTTTTAAAAGGAAAAGTTGTCAGCCTCGATGCCTCCTCCGCCTCCTCCTTCGATGGCACGATTAAAAGTTGGACTGACGAATGGAGGACGAAGCCGTTAGTTGGGGTTGGTTTGGGGGGTTTTCCCTGAAAAGGAATGTGCATTGTCTGGAAATCAAATGTTGGCTTTATGAAGACAAGCAAACACACAACGAGCATTTCTGCCGTCGTTAATGAAAGGAAAGTAAAACCAGTAAAGCCATGAACACATGAATGCTGTACGGAAGATTGTAAAGGAAGGGCTGGACTTCAAATCGACGTCGACGTGCTGACTGTAATTTCCACGGAAGAAGTCTTGGTGGCTTCGATCAAGGATTTTCTCTGGATGTGAGGGAATAATTTTGTTTTCTGGTTTGTGTTTCCCCTCAGCAAAACATTCCAAGCACAGACGATCCCACGAGAAAAAATAACAGTAATAATACAGCGTTCTGTTCTCTGGTATGAACATGTGCGTCTCATGGCGTCATTTGGCCTTACGTTATTCACACAAACACAGTCAACTTTCGGCGTATAAGGAGGAAAAATCTGATCAGTATCGTAATCCTAATAAATAATCCAAGCCTCCTCTTTTTGTTCTGTTTCGATGTTTTGATTATTTTTGTAATGGACGTTTCACCTGTTTGACTTCCATACGGCAGCATCGTCTAGTTTCTGAGAGCGTGCTCGTGGCTAAAACAGCCCCGAGCGGGTCGCCAGCACGCCGGTTAATGTTAAAGCTTTGCCCGTCTGCTAGAGTCCGAGTGACGTAAACGTCATCTCGTGGACGTGCCTGCAAGTTTCTGTGAGAGTTTCCGATGCACCAACTACGTTTGCACACCAGGTGGTGGAAATGCAGAAAACTGACTGGACTGACGAGTCGGCCGCGCCGTCTCCGGCTGTGCGAGTCCACAACAGACTGTAATCAAGGCTTAAGAGG